TGCATTGATTATGTAGATTGCTTTGGGTAGTATCAACATTTTAACAACATTTGTTCTTCCAATCCAGGACCATGGAATATTTTTTTCCATTTTTTTGTGTCTTCTTCAATTTCTTTCATAAGCTTTCTATAGTTTTTAGTGTATAGATTTTTCACCTCTTTGGTTAGGTGTATTCCTAGGTATTTTATGATTTTTGGTGTAGATGGAGATTTATTAATAGCTTTAAAACTCTATCTGCACAGTTAATCTCAGAGCTTTATTTTTTTTCTTTATTTGTCTGAGAGAGGAAGATACGGTGTGAGTGGGGGAGGGGCAGAGAGAGAGAGAGAGAATTCCAAGCAGGCTCTGCACTGCCACCACAGAGCCTGATGCAGGGCTTGAACTCATGAACTGTGAGATCATGACCTGAGCTGAAACCAAGAGTCAGACGCTTAATTGGCTGAGCCAGCCAAGTGCCCCAATCTCAGTCTTTTAATCCTCTTCTACAATTTTATTTTTCTATCTATCTATCTATCTATCTATCTATCTATCATCTATCTATCTATTTAATTTTTAGTTGGCTCCACTTCCAGGGAAGAGCCCAACACAGGGCTTGAACTCACAACCCTAAGATCAAGCCCTGAGCTGAGATCAAGAGTGATGCTTAACTGAGTGAGCCATCCAGGCACCCCCCTCTCTACATTTTAAATTCTGGGTTGCAAAGAAAGTTTTCAGGGGAGAAAACATTTCGTGGCTTGATAACTAAAATAATAAACCAAGCTTGGGGATGCTGGGCTTACATTTGAATGGAGGTTTGATGCTGAGTTTTTCCCACCCCTCTTCTTTCCCATCTCCAAGGAAGAAACACTGTCCCTTTCCCTCTCTGTTTGTCCTCCTGTTCTTATTCCTTACGTCTTCTTCAATTAACCCTCTTTTCCTGTGTGTTTAGTCTCCTTCCTGCATGGGCTACTTGTGTTCTGACTATATAATCAAATCTCTCCTAACCTATAAAAAGTTTCCGTGGACTCCTAATCCCCTTGAAACAACCTCACTCCTCTTCCTTTCTTAGCCAAATATCTTGAAAAGGACACTGTCCATTTTTCAGTCCATTTCTAATAAATACTAATGATTTGTTGAATGCCTACAGTATTTTAGACAGGATGTTGGCCATTGGGAATGACAGTAGACAGGACACCCTGCCCTCATGCTGCTCAGCCTCCTGGCCAAACCTTGGCCCTTGCCCTGCCACTGAAACTGCTCGGACAAAGCTGTCTGTGGACCTCCTACTCCCCAAATTCCGTGGCTCTTCTCAGTCCTTCCCCCTCAGCAGCACAAGATACTTGAACAGCAATGAGTAATATCCTAACACAATAGAAATCATTCCCCATGCTCAAGGCCCTGTGATGAACACAAAGAAGAACAAGCACAGAATCTGCCTTTGAAAAGCTTACACGCAGAAAATATTGTGTAGCCCAAGTGAACGAGGCTCTCCCTAAGGGAAGCTTCATAGGGAAAATACGTTTAAAGAGACAAAAGCTTGTATTCACAAAGCGTGTCCAATATATCTATCATTGATCTCAATATACAAATTCAGATGTATTAACGAGTCAGCAAGTACATGGTGACTGATGTTGTTGCAGGATCTTTTACCTCAATACCCAGGATTTGTTGTCTCGCTGCTTTGAAGAATGAAGAGGTGGACACAAAATGAGCAGCGGGCTAAAGTTTATCAGAGTATAAGATCAGAAAGGAAGAATCGTATAAAAGCTCTCTTTACAGAGAGGGGACGTTCGAAAGTGAATGCCCACAACTATAGGCAAAGGGTTTTGTTCTATAGGGTTCCGGTCAGCCTCCCTCTTCCCTTCTCACTTGTTCCTTCTCAGGTTCTACCCTGACTGGCTGGATAACTCTAGGTTGTCCATTTCTGACTGGCTAGACTCTCTTGTGTGAGGTGTGAGACTATGGTCACACTGCCCCTCGTGTTTTATGGTTTATTTATTTTAGTTAGGTACTTTGATTGTCAAATTCCTGAGGGGCACCCAAGGGGGAGTAGGTGGTGTCCATCACCTTCTTAAGAGGAACCTTACGCCAGAGGGAGTTTGCTGTGATCAGACATTCCCATCAATGCTCCAAAATATGTGTTTGTCTCCAACCAGGGACCTCAGGCCCTAACCTTTCCCTCTCAGCCTATTTTCTCTTTTCTTTTCCTTATCACAATGTCAAGAGTAATACCCTTTGATAACACATTTACTGCTCCAAATGTTCACAATTGCTCATATTTTCTGTGCATACCAGCCCTTCCAAGTGTCCCCTAAATAAGCATTGTTGGGGCTTGTTCTTAGTCGAAGACGTTACAGCTCATAGGAACAGAAAAATACAAATCATGGCTTGTTGAGATTTAAAAAAAATATTTGCTCCAAGATTCTGGGTAAAAGAATTGTTCATCCATATTTTGCTGGCTCATTAGCCCACAGCTGCCCACACAGATTCTCTACCCCCTGTTAAAGGCCTCGCCTTCTTTCTGAGTCCCCAGAGACTGTCTTCAACGTGTTCCATCCCATTGCCTACTGTGGTGCCTCAGTACCCTGGCGCGCAAGCTCCATGTTTGGGGGGCACCCTGCATCCTTGGAGAGCTGGAGCTGTATCATTGGCAGAGTGGAGAGGAGCTCTTTGTATTTTATATGATGGATTAGAGTCGGGCGGTGGGGGGACATCCGAAAACAGTGTTGTCTGGATCCCAGCCTCTCATAGAAGTCTTGGTGAAGCCAGTTCTTATTTCCAGAAGGAAGCTTAGAGACCCTCTTCCTCTCCTCAGTATGTGTCCAGAATAGGGACCAAACTGTCCTCAGCACTTCTGCTACTCTATACAGCTGTTTCCAGGTTAAATTACTGGCTCATTATTCTCTCATGGCATCCCACCCATTCCTCTGCTACACCCAGGGATGGCTGTACCCCAGCAATGGCAGGATCCAGGCTCAAGCCAAGTCACAGTTCCCCATTATATATAGGTATCTACGTGTGTAATGTCCATGGCCAAAGCTATGTCCATGCTAAGGCCAAGCAAATGGGCCCAACATAGAAGCCTCTACAGGCCAGAGACAGTAAGTTCACTGATAAGTCACAGTTGGGGAATGACTCCCCAGAGATAGGGGGAAGGACCCCATCATGAAATTGCCTCCCCAGGTTCTCAGGTTATAGCTCATCAGTGTCACCTGTAGTTTTGCTAGAGGAATAACTTAATGAGCACAAATCCTGCCAGTACCTTCTGGTGGCGCCTGGAGTATGACAAAATGAGCCTTTTCATCCTCATGGTCAGGAGAATGAGACTTGCTAAGGACCCTTCTATTTATTTTATTCTCTTAGGATAGGCATAGTCCCACTGCCAGGGCCACCTCCTAGGCTGTTTGTGTGAATTAGAAAGAGGTTCCCTCTCCTGATGAAACCAGCTGGGAATGGAAAAACAGCCTCCACCGCACATGTCCCCCTCTGATTCTCCAGAGCAGATATCTTTTGGGGGAAGAAGAATGGCACATCAGGGCCCCCATGACCTACGTGTTATATATGGAGAAACTAAAACCCAGAGAGAGGAGAACAAACTTGCCCAAGGTCACCCAGTGAGTCAGTGATAACGAAGGAGTAGCACTCAGGTCTCCCAAAGTGCAGCCTGTGTGATTGCCACAAATCATCTCAGGGTGTGATGAACAGCTTTGTAGCCCATTCTTTCCCCCACAGAGCATAGCAGGCTCAAGGACTGTCAAACTCAGACCCAGGGATCCCTTATCTCACTCAGTGTTCTTATTACATGTGTCCTCTACCCGAGACAGGGAGGCTCTCATTCCTGGGTACTCATGAAAGGGCGATGACAAAAATGAGGACAGAAATGGAGGCAGATAACTGAGTAACAATCTCTGCAGTCCATTCCCCACATCCCCAACACACGCGGGGAACTGCAGTTCTGATCCACCTAGATCAGTGCTTCTCAGACTCAGCTGTGCACCAGAATCAAAACCATAGACTGTTGGGGCACCTGGGTGGCTCAGTTGGTTAAGTGCCTCACTGTTGTACTCAGGTCATGTCTTGATCTCAGGATTGTGAGTTCAAGCCCTGCATTGGGTTCCACACTAGGTATGAAGCCTACTTAAAAATACATACATACATACATACAAAGAGACTGTTGGCCCTTCCCCCAGAGTTTTTGATTTAGTGGGTCAGAGGTAGGCCTGTGAATTTGTATATCTAACAGCTTCCCAGATGGTGTTGATTCTGCTGGTCTGGGGACACACTTTGAGACCCAGTGGCCTAGAAAAATAGACAATCCAGCTTTTCCTCCCTCACCTTCTTCTCTCTCTCTCTCTCTCCTTTCATGTCCCCCTCTGTAATTTTCTGCTTCGTCCTCCTCCCCATTTTTAGTCTTCTTCCCATGTTTCAAACCATGATGGAAGGAGCCAAGCTCTGCCAGGGACCTGGGTTCTAGTTCTAGCTCCATCACTGACTAAATGTGTGAACACAGGGCAAAGTCACTTCCCCAGTCTAGGCCCAAGGACAGACAATCCCCCACCCTCAGAGCCCCTCCCCCAGGCAGGACCACATCTACCTGGGTTCATCTCTGTATCCCCAGATCCTTTGTGCAAATATGTACTTGAAGAGAGGCTGGTGAATGAATTCAATGGCCTTTCAGCTTCCTTGCAGCTCAGACTCCAGGTTTCTGACTTCTTCCTTCCAAATCTGAGCTTTTCCCTCTTCAGTTGAACATGATATTTAGGGTGTTTCTAGAACAAGGGGAGGGGTGAATGCTCTGGAATGTGGGGCAGAGAGTTGAGGGGACACAACTCTAGAACAGCGTGTTAGCTGGGGGAATCAGGTGCCAGACAACAGATACATGACTCTCAGGGACAAGTAAGCGCGTGTGCTCAGAAGCTGGGAGCACCTAGGAGTCGGCGGTTAGACTGGGTCCCCCACGCCGCCTGAGGTTCCGGCAGGGGGCGCCAGAGAGAGGGCCAAGGCCAGCCTGGTTAGCCCAGGTGTCCAGTCTGGGGCGGGAGGGTGCGCCCTAGGGGCGTGGACACCGCCGAGAAACACCCTGGCCGCATTTAAGTAGCTGCAGGCCAGTGCCAGGGAGGAAGGAGGCGAAAAGTTCCAGCAACTGCTGACCTACTCGGACCCAGAGTTAGACGCACCGACACCCAGCTCGGCCCCAGCTAGCTCTAGACCGCGCCATGCGGGGCTCGAGCGTCGCTCTGTGGATCCTCCTCGCTCTGCGCACAGGTGAGGCCCGACGGCCCGGTCTCGGGAGCAGGAGCGGAAGTAGGAGCTGGGGCGGGGGTCCTGCAGTTCTCCAGCCCCGGACCAGGGTCCCACGCAGCTAGGAAGTGTGCTCTGAGTCCTTATCTCCCGGGAAAGAGGGGAGGCGTAGGAAGGCGCCAAGTGCAGCTGAAGACGCCGGGGGTTGGGGGTGGGAGGGGGGGGTACTAACACTGACCCCGGCCGACTGGGACGTCCGGAGGGCTTCTTGGGGGAAACGGCATTGAGCTGGGCCTTGGAAAAACGAGCCTGCTGACCTGCCCAGGAGAGGGGCGGCCAGAGGCGTGGAGGGGAGCGTCTTGGAGGGTCGGGGGGACAGCTGGGAGGGTGAACGCTCTTGGTAGGCGTGGAAGCCCGAAGAGGGTTTGGGGGCCCGGAGCGACTCTGCCTTTCCCGAGCTCGGGAGGGAAGCGGGAGGAGATTCTAAGGGACCGGTGGTGAGACGTGAGATACGACCCGAGCCGGGAGCATGTGTGCCCAGAAGCTACGAGCACCCTAGGGCGCCCTGCGAGGTGCAGCGAGGAGGAGGGGGCGCTGTCGGGTCTCCTCGCGTCTGCACCGCCCTCTCCCAAGGAAGTCAGGGCCCAGGGCAGTGAGGCGTGAGTCTGGGCATCGGGGAGCTGCTGGCAGGGACGGGCGGACACAGGATGGGTTCACCCTGTGACCTCACCAATACAAAATTTGGACCCGCTACCCGGGTCCCAACTCTACGGTTGTCGGGACTACCAAGGTGCAGTCTTGGGGCTCTGGAGAGGGGGGACGCAGTTTCACATTCCAGGATGCCGCCAGGAGCTGGGTTGCAAAAGGAAGGCTGTGGAGGACCCTGCAGTCTTGACCCTTGGAGTGGGGATGGGAAGGACAGGCTGCCAGGAGAGAATGACCTGGTTCCTGGGGGTGGGGAACTGGATCCAAAGCTGGACAGGGTGAGTGGTGGAGGAACTCAGGTCTTCCAAGGCATTGACTGCAAGGACAGCTGGCCCCACTTCTGCTGGGGCCCCCAGGCTGGATGCTTTCTGGGACCCTGACCCGGTCAGACCTCGGGACCCAGGAGGCTCCCCACCAGGAGGAAGGGTCTAAGCAAAAGTCCACGAAAGAGCTATGTGTCCTGGCTCTCTACATAGGTTTACTTACAGCGTAGAAGGTGGCTTTTCTCATCTGCACTCTCTGATGACAGAGCAAGCTCAGAGAGGTGAAAATAAGTTGCCTGAAGTCACTAGCTCCTTCTCCAGGAGCGGAAACGTGAACTCCACCTGCTGGTTCCTCAGCTTCCCCTTGGCACTGTGACCCTGAGGGTGGGTTTGCAATGGATGTAATCACAGATACTCCGAGAGGATGCAAGTCTCCTCAAGGGCACCCGTAACCACTTCCCAGTCTCAATTCCCGGCTCCTGAGGAGGGTGCAGGGATCCTGAGTGAGAGAACCTGGTCCATCACCCTCTTGTTGGAGGACACAGAGGCCCCAAGACTAGGCAGGAATTTGCCCAGTCACGGAGCCAGCCGCGACTCCCCAGCCAGTGCTCTTTCCAGCCACCAGGCTAAGCAGGTTCGGGGGTAGCCCAGCACTACCCCCGGAGAGGTTCCCTGGCCTCTGTAAAGTGCCAGGCTCTGAGCTGCCCCAAGTGCAGGAATATGCGTGCAGTCTGTGACACTTTTTGCCTCGGTCCCTCCCAGCGGGAGGGCAGGGCCACAGTAGAGCACTGGCTACACAGGCTCGTGGGGTTACACACAGCTGCTGGAGCCAGCCTGCTTGGGCTCGGGATGCCAGGGGAGCCGGACCTCACTGTCCCCTGCCCCCAGCGCTCGGCGGCATGGAGGTGCGGTGGTGCACCACCTCAGACCCGGAGCAGCAGAAATGCAGCGACATGAGCAAAGCCTTCCAGGAAGCCGGTATCCGGCCATCCCTCCTGTGTGTCCAGGGCACCTCAGCCGACCACTGCATCCAGCTCATCACGGTGAGTCCTGCCCCCTCACTCCACTACCACACCCTGCCAGACGGGAGGGCTCTGACTCACGAGGGAGTACACAACAGCGTCATTCACAGAGAAAGGTGCCGATTTCCTCCCCGCCGGGCCAGGCATTAGGATCTCCTGAGTTTCCCAGGCAACAAGGGCCGGCTTGTTTCCCGCCAGGGCCCAGGCCAGCCACTGGGAGGCCACAGAGAGGGCCCCTGCTCCGTGGGCGCCAGTAGGGAAAGATATCTAAGAGGCAGAGTTTTCCTTCCACAAGGCCCCTGCTAGAGTAGGGACACTACCCACCCCCACCAAGGCGCGCCCAGACAGCAGCCCCCTCAGTGGCCCATGGTAGTTAGGCCGTCATGAAGCTTTCCCGAATGGGGCTTGTGCACTTTCTCAGGAAGGAGGAATGAAGGCCAGCAGTCCTAGGTGGGTGAATGGGGGTGGGAAAGAAGTGCTGAGGGGCGGATCTGCTCAGCTGGCACTGACACTCAGAGGCAGGACTTCAGTGGAAGGACAGTGCCTGGAGGGAAGCTTTCTGGACAGGCACAAGGGAACCTGGGATTTCATTTCAGCTCAGCCCATGATTTCTCCCCAAAGCTAACCCAGTCATATAGTACCACATGGGCCGGGGGCTTCGGTCAGGCTCCACTGGGAGGAAAGCGATTATACTGAACTACAGTTTCATCGTGGACCCCATCACCTGATAGGTATACTGCCATTTGTGTTTTGAAATAAAAAAGGGGAAATAATGAAGCGGGAATTTGTGGGATTCAGTCTGCATCTTAGAAAATCTGAGAAACAGGTTAACAGTGGAGGCGGAGGTCTGAGAGGCAGGAAAGTGAGGGAGGCTCACTTTCCACTACATACCATTTTGTACTATCTGATTTTTTTAAATTCATTTATTTATTTTGGCAGAGGGAGAGAGAAAGAGAGTGAGAGCACACAAGCAGGGGAGGGGCAGAGAGAAGGAGAGACAGAATCCCAAGAAGGCTCCGCACCATCAGCGCAGAGCCCAGTGCGGGGCTTAAACACGCAAACCATGAGATTATGACCCGAGCAGAGATCAAGAGTCAGACGCTTAACCCACTGAGCCACCCAGGCGCCCTGAAAATTAATACTTTTTAAATACATAATTAGAAAAGGCAAACCCTTGGCCTAGGAGAGCTGTCACCTAGGACCTGGTAAAGCGTGAGCCCGCTATACCCTGGTGGCTGCAAGGCTGAGCCAGGACAGGGTTCCTGGGCCAGACAAAGAGGACGAGTGTGGACCTTCATGGCTTTTCAAGGGGCCCTAGGCAGACTAGTGGGTGTCTGTGAACTCCTCGTCGAATGGGCCGGGGTGGCTGGGCTGGGCTGACCCACATGTTCCCAGCAGGCCCAGAAGGCTGATGCCATCACCCTGGATGGAGGAGCCATTTATGAAGCAGGGAAGGAGCATGGCCTGAAGCCCGTGGTGGGCGAAGTATATGATCAAGGTCAGAGGGCTGAGTGGGAAGAGGGGCGGGCCAAAGGACAGAGGATGTCACTCTGCAGTGGGTTTGGCCCTCTAGCTGGTCAGTAGCCCTGTCCCCAGAACAGTCCTGGTGTCCAGGCCAGACCAACCCACAGAGACTCCCCTAAGTCTCTCTTGCCACCCCCCTTAGAGCAGGGGCGCCACAGACATAGAGGGCCAGTTTAAGTCTGTTCTCCCCTGTGGGGAGCCCAGCCGGCCTGGAACTTGCACCCACAAGCCCTTACCGAGGGGCTGCCCCATGTCTGCTATAGTGTTAGGCACAACTGACTGGGTGAAGGAGTCTTCATAATGCCCAGCGCCCGAGCACTTCAGTGACCCTGTGTCAGAAACGGCACGAAGTGGGGATAGGGGCTGGCTAGAGGTATTGCCTAGGACCTGCAGAGCTCAGCTGACCAAGATCAAATCCCAGTCCCGCCCCTTCCTATGGTCCTCTGTGGCCTTGAACAACCTTCCTTCCTTGACTGTAAAATGGGGGGAGTAACCCCTGTCCTGTCACACAAATGAAACGAGTCAGCCTTGACTCATGGTGTGCACTTGACACATGGTAAGGGCTTGGAGATGTGAAAGCCTCTGCCCCAGTCCCTGCACCTTGCACCAGATCTGTGTCTAACTCAGGATACGTAGTGCGCGCGCGCACACACACACACACACACACACACACACACACACACACACACCCATCTCCCACAGCCTTCCCAGGCAGGGTTCCAGCCTCTCTGGTGGCTTCTTCACTGCCACCCTCACTCCTCTCCTGTCTCTCCTTCTAGAGGTTGGTACCTCCTATTACGCCGTAGCTGTGGTCAAGAGGAGCTCCAATGTGACCATCGACACCCTGAAAGGCATGAAGTCCTGTCACACGGGCATCAACAGGACGGTGGGCTGGAACGTGCCCGTGGGCTACCTGGTGGAAAGCGGCCGCCTCTCCGTGATGGGCTGCGACCTGCTCAAAGGTAAGGGCTTTGGGCCAGGCAGGCTTCTCCTGCAGGAGCGCTGGGTCTCCCCACTGGCTGCTGCGCTGCCTTTCCCTCACAGGTGACCGCCCTCAGGCTCACCTTCGTCCGCAGCTTCCTTTAACTAAGGAGCAGCCCCATCGCACCTCCTCCAGGGCCTTCCGGACACCTACTTGGTGCTGGCCCTCTCTTTAGTGCTGGCCAGCCTGCTGTTGCTACCGTTTAAGTTCTGGTTGATCGGCCCTCCAGGGCACTTGACTCTGGCTCACTCATCACGGTACCCTAGGACACCCCTGAGCACAAGGTCCCACCCGTGTTTGGGAGGCAGTGATGCTCAGGGAGCAACTCTCACCTGGTAGACCTGTGTAGGTTCCTACTTCCAGAGACGTGTCCTCGGCATTACAGACTAGAAACTATTTTTTCGGGGCCCAGACAAGCTGCTGGCTTATACCCAGAAAGCTCACAAGTGGGTAACCCCAGTCGATTCATTTCTAGTAAGAATAGGGCTGTCCTGCAAATAGAATGTGTCCCACGGAAGGGAGGTGAGAGTGATCTGAGAGGGGTTGTTGAGAATAAAACATGCCAAGGGAGTGAGCTGAAGCGCTGAGTGCCTGACTCAGAGCACTCAGGTGGAAGTTGTGCTTCTCCTGCTTGGGGTTTCTTTTCCTGGCCACCAGTCTCTCCACGGCAGGCATAGGACAGTGAAGTGGCCCCTGACACATGACAACCACATTCTTAAACTGTCCTCCTGGGATCACAGCACCCCCAGTAGAGTTTATCCATGAGTGTGCTACCTCCTGGTTTGTTCCACGGGTGACCAGTCCCTGTCGGTGGGGGCAGGTGGGAGAGCATAATCGTCTTTTTTTTTTTTAATGTTTATTTATTTCTGAGAGAGAGAGAGAGAGAGAGAGAGAGAGCATGAGCAGGGGAGGGGCAGAGAGAGAGACAGAGGAAGACACAGAATCCGAAGCAGGCTCCAGGCTCTGAGCTGTCAGCACAGAGCCCGACGCGGAGCTCGAACTCTCATGAACCGCGAGATCATGACTTGAGCCGAAGCCAGACACTCAACCAGTGGTTGAGCATAATGGTCTTTTAAAGCCCAGACTTTGCTGTCAGATAGATGTACATTTAAACCCTGGCTCAGCCTAGTCTCCCTCATTGAACTTCAGTTTCCTCATCTGTAACACAGGAAAATTAGCACTACAAGGCTGTGATGTTGGAAGAGCTGAGATAATTCACACAACGACTTTGCACAGGACATAGCACAGGGTATTTCCTCACTGCACAGAGCTGTTGCTACATGAGCTCAACTCCTATACCTCTCGGGGGCACCTTGCTATCGTATACGCATACACATGCACACACAGACACGCACACATGTACACGTGCATGGGCCACGCCCACATATGCACAAACCCATACACACACATGCACGCATACATATGCATTCACTGCCCCCATACAACCCAACCACTGTGTAAACCAGCACAACCTCCAAGAGCTTGGAAGCCCTGTCCCCTCGGATGGTGGCCAGATATGGGTGGCCTGTCTTTCAGTTGGCACATTTATTAAATTTCTGTTCCTCTGGGAGGAGGCAAAAAGCAGACCAGGAAAGGGAGCCCACCCTGGAAGAGTGTGGTCCAGCTGGGTGATGAGCCAGCCTCCTGCTCACCCTATGTGGCACTAAGGTGACCTTAGCACAGGATAAATATTTGCCGAAAGGGTGGACACTGGGCCTCAGTGCCGGCGGCGACCCCAAAACCATGCCAATCCTGACCACTTCACCGTTTCCCTGCCCCTTCCTGTGTTTTCGAAAGCGTTGTCTGTGAAATTAATTGTAATCGTTATGTAATAACTTCTTTCTTTCCCCGCTTTCATTGATGACACGTAACTGATTTGAAGTGAAACCCACAGTGAGGATAGTAGTTATTTGACAGTTGCCCTTTGCGGGCAAGTGGAGATAAATGTTTTATCCCCCAGAACTGTTTTTAAAATAGCGAAATTCACTCCCAACACCCCTTGCTGCTTTTGTGGCCCCAGTTTGGGAGTCACTGACCCAGTCCAGCTCCCCAGTTTTGCTCGGACAGAAGCTTGGAGGGTCCAGCGAGTCCCTGAGGAGCCCAGCCCGCCCTAACTGCAGCCTGAGGAGAGTGAGCCCTCCCTGGGGGCCCTGGCCCAGGGGTCTGACCCCGTGTGGCTGACTGACCTCCCTCTGCCTCCTTCCCACAGCTGTCAGCGACTATTTTGGGGGCAGCTGCGTCCCCGGGGCAGGAGAGACCAGCTACTCGGAGTCCCTCTGTCGCCTGTGCAGGGGCAACACTGCTGGGGAGGGGGTGTGTGACAAGAGCTCCCTGGAGAGATACTACGACTACAGCGGAGCCTTCAGGTGAGAGGAGAGGGCAGGGGTGGGGGGCGCTGAGTCAGGGATGAGGCCTTGAGGCCACAGAGCGGGTGGTAAATAGCTGCACTGAGAGGTCCCAAGGGTGGGGCAGTGTTGGCTGCATCTCTTCAAAGCACCCTTTATATAGTTCATGTGCCTGGTTAGTTTAAAAACATCAACCTGGAATATGCCGGACTGGATTTGCTCACAAAATCAACATGTTTGGTGTATTTAGAGAGATGAGGGCTTAGAGAGTAGAAAATGACAAAAACAGCCTTTTGCCACTTTTGTGTCCCCATTCTGGTGTCTCAGACTCACAGGGAGGGTGATAGGAGTGGGAAAGTGTGGCGGGAACCCTGGAAGTCCTGACAGTCGGAACTGGCCTCAGCTCCGCACCCCATTAGGGCTGGTACTTTGGATGCGCTCTCCTTGGAGCCCAAAGAGAGTCTCCAACAGCATGTGGCATAGCTGCGTCTGTCCACAGCTGAGGAAACATGCTCAGCAGGGCCGGCAGTGGAAGCCTCCTGAACCCCTCTAACTGCCTCGGCCTCAGTGTTTCCACCCGGAAGCAGGGAGCCTGCTGGTGCCCCACGCCCCAGGGTGGGATCAGGGGAAATGCAGTTTGGGGCACAGAGAGAAAAACAGTCCTCAGTCCTCGAAGCCAGAGCCTTTGGCCCGCCCCGCTCTCCTGGTATTCCCCCAGCCCGGACCCTGCTTCTCAGCTGGCTGTGGGGACCCAGGCAGCCCTTTTCCCAGTAGGGCCTGGCCTGCCTCCCTCACTGGGCAGTGACGTATAAAGGATACATAAAAGTCCTGGTCCCTTCCACTCAGGGGTTTTTGGTGTGGCATGAGAAGGTCTCACCTAATCCCCTGCCTCAGGGCAGAGTCATCTTCAAAACACCCTGAGCATTGAAGCTGTTGATAACAGCAGCTGCCCTATGAGTACCTGCTCCACTCAGGCTCCGAGCTGGGCTGTACAGTGTCTATGCTGATTGTGAAGGATCTCTCCCTATGGAGAGCTACTTTCTTATCCCCACTTTAGAGGTGATAGAGGCTAGGAGGGCTCCACAACTTGGCAAAGCCACACAGGAGACAAACCAGGGAGCTAGATCCTGGGACTGCCTGGCCGTGAAACCTGTGCCCACCATCACCAACCCCTTCGGTCCAGAACAGACCTCCAGAAGGCAGATGAGCTCCACCCAGGCTCACTGTTTTCTCCTCTGCAGGTGCCTGGCGGACGGGGCAGGGGATGTGGCCTTTGTGAAGCACAGCACAGTGCTGGCGAACACCGATGGTGAGTAGGGAGGGCCGGCGTCCAGGAGCAGGGTCTCAGGCCCTGTAACTCTCCCTAAAAGGAAGAGATGAGTCTCATGAGTATAGTTTAAACTGCTCTGTGGGGCAAGGGGCTGCCCTGCTGTGATTTGTGTCTGGCATTTGCTCCCACTTTCAGACTGGATTCTGACTGCAGAACATTTGCAAATCTCTGCATTAGCCCTCATCTACCATCCCTTCTCCCATTATCTGAAGAAGCCATCCCTTATCCCTGAACAAGGTCATATTAAATTGGGTTAGTGTTATGTGTTGATCCATTAAAAAAAAAAATTTTTTTTGCAATCATTGAGCTATAGAAAATTTCTAAGAGTCAGTCATAGAATTTCCATTTATTTTTACCCAGATTCCAGCTTTTGCCATTTGCCACATTGGATTCATCATTCTTTCTATACTTGTGTATGTTCTTTCTGAATCATTTGAGAGTATGTTTGCCTGCCTCAGACCCTTTAATACTTCAGTGTGTATCTCCTAAAAATGAGGAGATGTGGACCTAGCCACAGTAACAGTCATCAAATTCGGGAAACATAACATTGACACAATACTGTTATCTAATCTACAGCCCATATTCCAGATTCACTAGTTTTCCCAATTCTGTTCTTTGTAGCCATGTTTTTCAGGCCGCAGACCTAAGGTGTGATCACATGTGGTATTTAGTTGTCAGATCTCTTTCGTTTCCTTTAACTTCAAGGAATTTCTCAATCTTTGTTTTTGTGGCAGTGACATGTTTGAAGAGTCAGGCCAGTTGTTTTCTAGAATGTCCTCTAATTTAGATTTCTGTCGGGGTTTTTATTTCTTTAATTTGAGGTGTAATTTACATGCAGCAAACACTCTCTTTTTGAAGTACGGTTTGGCAAACTTCGCCAAAAACACAGTTGTATAACCACCAACACAATCAAGAGAGTGATTGTGACAGACCTCTCGCCCCAAAAGTTTCTTGATGCCCCCTTCTGGCATCCACCAATCATTTCTGTCTCTATAGTTTTGCCTACTCAATAGTGTCTGATCACTGTCTTTTTTTTTATCACAATCTTTTTTTTTAATCGTAACCTTTGCCTTTAAAAGCAGAAGGTCCATCATGTGGTCTGACATTCAAGAAGGCAAACAATAAGAACCAGATTTGAGAAAGAGGAAAAAAAATGATTTGAAAAAGGAGGAAGCACATAGGATTATCTCCAGAGCAAGATGATCCTATGAAAATGGACAGCTGGGACTTGGGCCTTAAGATCAAGCAAAAAAAAAAAAAAAAAAAAAAAATTGGAAGGTGGAGAAAGAATAGGGCTGTATTGGGTTAAAATTGGCACTTTTAGTATTGTGATGGTAATCTAAGGAAGTCTAAATAATTTTTTAAAGACTATCTTCATGCAAAAGATTGGTAAGAACAAAAAAGGGCATTGCCATAAATGTCTGAAGCGACGGTGGCTCTAATGGTCCCTAGCCAATGAAAAACAGTGGCAGATCGAAATACCAAAGTGGTACGTTTGTCTCACCGGAAGGCCAGATATGCCCCCAGAGCTCTATACAAAGGCTTTGCAGCAGATTAAAAATAGAGAAGAGCTGGGGAGGGAGGCGAGAATGGCACAGAGTAATTGTTGAGAGTGCTATAAATGATCATGCAGTCATTAAAAATGACCTTTATGGAGTTTTCCAAACTATTGCTCTCGGTTTTGGGGTTTGGTTTTGAAATAGCTTTGAGTTTTCATGATCCCACAAATGATTTTTTCCCCCTCCTATTTCCTAGCAGAGGCTTATCCTCCTCATTTTCAAACTGAAAAGTCATAAACATATTGTTATGTAATGCCATCTGTTGAGTTACAATCTTAAAATTATTCTTCTTAATATTCTTAATCTGGTGTCAATATTCACTCTTTCAAATAAATCTGGTTTTCTATCATAAATGAGTTTTACGGAAATTTTCCAATAGTGTGGGAAAATCCTTTAAAATGACAAATGGGAAAAAGAAAAGTAGGGTGCAAAATTGCCTATCAAGTATGTCCTTAGCCATGTTAGAAATGGTTAGAAAATAGAACAAAGGACTTGGAGGAAACATCCTTAGACATTAATGGATGAATGTTGGATGAATATATGGGCAAAGCTTTGGAGAGTTACCCTTTTCTCTCTGGGCCACAGTTCTGGGTAGATTCTGTCTGGCTGTGTTCCCACCATGGCCCTCTCCCCTGCTCTCTGCTCAGAGCCAAGTTTAGAGCCAAGCAGTGAACTCCTGCTTCATTTCTCTCTCCCCTTCTGAGCTCCCCTTTTGCTCTTATTCTTTTTATCATTAATGAATCGTCCTGTTTGTATGTGCTGCGTTACTGTCAGAGACCTCAAATCCGTGTTGTTAATAGAAACCGGGGAAAGTCTACAGAAAATTTAATACACCTGGTCTTGTGGAGTGTGGCCGCCAAGCTCCTCTTCATTCTGAGTTCTGGGTCCCACCTCCCGGAAGAGTTTCTGTTCACCATGAGTCTGAGGCTCTTTACACCCTAGCCTCTCCTCAGCTCCCTCTCCTGGGCCTTCCTGAGGCCTTTCCCAAACCCCTCCCAGGACAGAAGTTGGCTCACCACAGGCTTCCTATCTTCCCAGGGAAAACTCTTCCCTCCTGGGGCCAGGCACTGCTGTCGCAAGACTTCCAGCTGCTATGTCTGGATGGCAGCCGGGCTGATGTCACCGAGTGGAGGCGATGCCACCTGGCTCGGGTGCCTGCTCACGCGGTGATGGTCCGGCCTGACACAGACGGGAGCCTCGTGTTCCAGCTGCTCAATGAAGGCCAGGTGAGTTCAGGGCACCCCCCCTACCCTGCTTCGACACAGCTTCCCAGATGGTACCGAACCTTCTGGTCTCTCGCCAGGGTAGGAGCCCACTCCAGTGAGAGCCATCATGGGGCTGGGCCAGCCAGACCAAGAGGGGCAAGACTCAGGGACCCCCACCCCCGCCCGGGGCGAGACCACAGCCGAGGAGGTCTCTGTAGTGTCCAACCTTGGTGTGAAGGAGGGACCGACCGTGTGAGCTGGCAGCCAGAAGGGCAGACCAGAAAGGGGAGACCCAGGACTCAGGAAGCAAGGAGGCCTGGGCTCAGGCACCCCTCAGAGAAAGCTGCTCACATTTGTGGCTCTTAAGACCAAAACCAGAATATATGAGCAAATAAAATGGCAAAGCCAACGAAGGTCGAAGTACCCCATTAATTAAATGTGCTGAATAATGTTTTGCTGAGACCACTGTTTACAAGAACAGCACATTTCTGACTGTGGGGCACCCCAGCTTTAGCTAGTTTTGTCCCATCACTTGTCCTTAGTCCCATCCACACCTGGGCCATAAGTCCTGTGTTCACTCAGCTGGGTGTGACAAGGCAGAGTGCACTGGGGGAGCACAGAGGAAGAAAGGGGGCAGTGCCTCACCTGGTCCCCAGAGTGGGCGCCTGGCCAGAGGGCATGGGAATAAGGAGCTGGTGGCAGATCTGGGAGGGATGTGTTCCCCCTCCCTGCTGGCATCATCTCACCAACCCCCACTCTCATCCCTTGACACACAGCGTCTATTCAGCCATGAGGGCAGCAGATTCCAGATGTTCAGCTCTGAGGCCTATGGGCAGAAGGACCTGCTCTTCAAAGATGCCACCTCTGAGCTGGTGCCCATCGCCACACAGAGCTATGAGGCCTGGCTGGGCCGCGAGTACTTGCAAGCCATGAAGGGTCTCCTCTGTGACCCCAACCGTAAGTCCACCAGTCTCTTGCCCCACTGGCTCCAGCCCAGCCGGACCACAGGCATGGCAATGCTTTCTGGAGAGGCAGCTGGGAGAGGACACTCACCCAGGAGCTGTGCCCCTTGGCCTCCATGAGAACCAATTGCTTCCACCTCCCTGCCTCTGGAGGTTTGGGGAGGAAGCTTCTCCAGAGTTGAATGGCCTGCTGTACCCTGGGTCTGTCTTGGGAAGGGTCTCCTTGCCCGTCCACACAGAAGTCATCAAGTCCCATCATTCTCTCTCCACAATGCCTCTCTCTTCCTCCTCCCCACCCCATAGCCAAGGCCCTGGTTCAGCCATTGTCTGTTGGCTGGACCATTGCAGTAGTCTACAAATGGGCTTCCTGCTTCCTGCCCCCTACAGCCAGGGAAATGGTATGCCACTCACTTAGACACATGGCAGCCATGATCTGCCTCAAGCCTCCTCACAGTCCCATGAAAGAGGCGCACAGTTACCCCCTTTCTGTAAGAGGAAACAGGATCAGATATTTAAATATCTTACTTCTTACAGCTAATGAGGGAGAGAACCAGACTCTCCCTTGGGTCTGGCTCCAAGCTCTTCGTACTGAGGTACTGGCCCCCATGGCCCCTGCCCCGCAGGCCATCATGCTCAGGGCCAGCCCCTGAAGCAGGTGTGTGCGGTGGTGACCACAAGCTCACACACACTCACACACACAGGGCTGCCCCGCTACCTACGCTGGTGTGTGCTGTCCGCTCCGGAGATCCAAAAGTGTGGAGACATGGCTGTGGCCTTCAGCCGGCAGAAGCTCAAGCCAGAGATCCAGTGTGTGTCGGCCGATTCTCCCCAGCACTGCATGGAATGGATCCAGGTAGGGGCCACGCCCAGAGGGGCAGAGCAGACCAGAGGGGCAGGCGGTGGCCGTGCCTGGGATGGTCCTTACCAGTCCTCCCCCGGTGCCCTGGTCTGAAGGAAACAGGGTAGGCTGAGGAGGAGAACACCTCCTGTGACAGCCCCACAGAGAAAAGGTAGGAGGAAGGCCTGGCAGGGGCCAGCCATCCCACCCCAGGGGACGGGGGGGTGGGGGGGGGCGGGGTATTTCCTTTCAGGGAACCCAGGAATCCCTCCTCACTGAGTGGGTGGTCTGGGAGCAGAAGGAGCCCGAGACTGGCCCAGCCAGGCACTGGTTGACCTGTGGCCTTCTATAGAGAGAGATGAAACAAACAGTACTGACCCTTACTAAGTACAGTGAACGCTGATGTCTTCTGTGATGGTCTATCCCAGCCTTTTTTTCTAAGCTTGTCATGGTTCATTGCACTGACTTGGCATCCGCTGATATGCTGCAGTCAAAAGCACTGGCCCTGTGGCGGCCCACGCAGCTCTGTCCTGCTTTGCTTCTCTGCCTGGAGATGGAGGCCAGGACCGGGAGGTAGCCCTAGGGCCCTGCAACCAAGGATGCTACTGTGGTCACAGGTGGCCCACCAGCCCTTGGAGTCCTGGGCTCCTCCCTCCTCTTTTTTAAGAGCAAGTAGGTAGAGCCTATGGTCAGGAGCCCTTATCAGGGCAGTCCCCAAATGCAGGCCGGACCACAGTGCCTCCGGAGTGTCCACACTGCCCCAGCCAGGCAACCACATTGACTTAAAGGCCAAGAAGAGAAGCATGGACAGGAATAACAGGAGGTCAGGATCGTGATAGATAGCAGTCACACGAGCATGCGAGTCCCAGGTGCCGCACGCTGTGCTGAGATTTCACGCGGGCTGCTTCACTTAATCCTCACAGCACCACTATGGGGTGGGTATGATCACTGTCAAGTGTGGAAACTGGGGCTGGGAGAGACCGAGGAAGCAACTTGCCCAAAGTCACCCAGCTCATGGTGGGGGAGCCCCTCTCCCCAGGGGCCCACAGGAGGCCGGCCCCAGCATGACCGCAGGTAACGCCGAGGAAGGGTGGGCCTCAGTGGAATGGAGAAGGGGAGACTGGAGGTAGAGGGCCGTTCATTTCCTAAGGCTGGGCACTCTGTCCTGTGGGGGGCGGCTGGGGCCACGGGCTGCAGAGCAGGGACAGATGTAGGAGAGAGGTTTCAGCTCCCTATAGGCAGGAGCCTTCTCTCTGTCTGAACTCAAACAGGGCCCAGGGGCTGCCCAGTGCCCTACGGGGAGAGTAGCAGACTCGGAGGTTCCTCAGAACCCCAGCAAAAGGCTCAGAGATACTTGGTTCTGAAGCTCTCAGGGATGGTGTCCAGTGTAGCTCGGATACCCATCTGCTTCCAGGCCACAGTGACTCTGGGAAGGGGGTGCCAGCTGGAACGAACCCTGGGCTGTAGGTAGGAAGTCTGGGTGAGGGAGGAGAGGGCCCCCAGAGACACACCCTCCAGGCTCAAATACCAGTGCCACTGCCTGTTATTCCGCCATCATGCCTCTGGGCCTGAACGGTGCAAGGTACCTTCCTGGGGTGCAGATGTCCCCTCTCTCCCCTGGCCCCATTCCCTCTCCTTGGGGTTTGTCACACTACTATGCCTTGATTATTGGCTAATCCCTTTTCAGTGTCCGAGGGGTCACCTGCGCAGGGGCTTCAGAATTCACAAGATTGGGTGGAGAGTGGGAGACCTGGAGCGCATCAGGAGGGTCGAGAAAAGAGGGCCCTGGGCTCCTCCTGCTGCCTCCTGAGGCAGAGCTTTTTAGCCATGAGACTGCTGTCTTTGAGCCTGGCTCTTTCATACATTCGCATACACATTCGACAAATACACATTGCATTTGTGCTGGATGCTAGCCCTGGGCCAGGTGCTGGGGACACAGTACAGTGCCCCAGGCCTCTGAGGGCTAGCAGTCCCTGGGGAGACCCCACCCCAAGCACAAGGGCAGTGATAGTCAAAGTTCTGCTCAAAACAGGGCCTGGCAACAGACGTGTCAGTAAACATTTATTCAAAGAACAAAGCAGATGCCCATGGATGGGAGTGCTGGTTTCATGCCTCTGGTCCTCCAAGCACCCCTTTTGCCCACACATCTCACTAGGGTGGGGTAGGATAGGGTTCCTCGGGGAAGAGAGCAAGAGGCCAAAGTCCCCAGCACCTCTGTCAAATCCCGACACCTTCTCTGCCCGGTCACCCGTTCTGTCCCATTTCAGGCTGGGAAAATTGATGCTGTGACCCTGAAAGGCGAGGACATCTACATGGCAGGAAAGGAATATGGCCTGATTCCAGCAGTTGGGGAGCGCTATGCCCGTGAGTGTGGTTGCTGGGTCCCCTGGCCTCTGCTGAAAGCAGCTGATATTTTCATATATATATATAACCCACCTCAGCCCTTTTCAAAAGCTCCCCCTCAGTGTCCCTTTCCCAGGGCTGGTTGCTGTCAGTCACAGGCAAACCCCAGATCTCGGGTTTCCCATCTAGTCATTAAAAGCCTGGCAGGTGTGGGCAGACCTTCTATAAAAGGTCAGAAAGTAAACCTTTTAGGCTTTACAGGCCATATACAGACTCTGCATATTCCTTTTTTTTTTACAACCTTTTAAAAATATTAAAACCGTTTTTTAAAACATTTTTTAATGTCTATTCATATTAGAGAGAGAGAGAGAGAGAGAGACAGAGCATGAGCAGGGGAGGGGCAGAGAGAGGGAGACACAGAATCTGAAGCAGGCTCCAGGCTCTGAGCTGTCAGCACAGAGCCCGACACAGGGTCCAAACTCATGAACTGTGAGATCATGACCTGAGCAGAAATCAGAAGCTCAACCGACTGAGCCACCCAGGCGCCCCTAAAAACTGTTTTTATGCTTGTAAGCCAGGCCATACAAAAGCAGGCTGAGTATTTGCTGACCCCTCGATGAGAGAGCCTCCTCTGCCCTTCCAGCCTGACCATGTGGCTCATAGAAGGTGGCCCTGGGGACTGTCCTTCCTGTCAGCTCATGCACACCTTCCCAGTGGCCCAGGCTGGGGCCTTGGTGCTCTGTCCCCTTAAGTGGTGACCTCAGGTCATTTCACTTGGATGTGAAAAATCTTTGGGCCTAGGAAAAATGTTTCTGCAGTCCTCAGCTGTGCCTCCACCTTTCTCCCAAGAGGTGAGAAAAATACCACCTGAGTGTAAGGGAAGGGAAATCTCTTTGGGTAAGGAATGTTCGGGAATGGGCTGAGGGACACAGAACTCTGAAAAGTGGAGCCAAGGGCTGCTTCCCAGCCTTGGAGGGGGACAAGCAGGGGTCCCACTGCTGGATGTGCACTCCTGAACCCATGCAGACAGGGCCTGGACCCGAAGCAGAGAGAGGCACTTGGGGCAGGACCATGGCTCTGGGGCAGGAGCCGCCTGAGGGAACGGGTTGAGGGCGGGAGGGGATTTGCGTTGGCTCATGCCTGGCTGAGGCCGGAAAGCACCAATGGGGTCCTCACTGGTGTCCCCTCCCCACAGCGGAGGACAGCAGCAACTCCTACTTCGTGGTGGCTGTGGTGAGGCGGAACAGCTCCTACGCCTTCACCCTGGATGAGCTCCGGGGCAAGCGCTCCTGCCACTCAGGGTTCCACAGCCCCGCGGGCTGGGACATCCCCGTGGGTGTCCTGGTGCAGAGGGGCTTCATCCGGCCCAAGGACTGCGATGTCCTCACAGGTACCACCTTCTGCAGGGACGTAGACATGCAAACTCTGTTTTGGGGTCTACTGGGTTGGGGGCCGGGTCTGAAGGTCAGGGAGCCCACCCCCCGCAGGATCCCACAGAGCAGCCCAGAGAGATTTCCTCTTCCTCCTTGATGTGCCCCTTTCTCTTGGGAAGGTTGGGAATATCCTTTTGTTTTCTTTTTTCTTTTTAGTTTTTTTACATTTATTTATTTTTGAGAGACAGAGAGAGACAGCATGAGCAGGGGAGGGGCAGACAGAGAGGGAGACGCAGAATCAGAAGCAGGCTCCAGGCTCTGAGCTGTCAGCACAGAGCCCGATGCGGGGCTCGAACCCACGAACTGTGAGATCATGACCTGAGCCGAAGTCGGACGCTTAACCGACTGAGCCACCCAGGCGCCCCAAGGTTGGGAATATTCTTGCCTACGTTTGGAGCCGTTGTTGGGTAGAGGGTGCCACGCTGCCCCGTCCCGCTTACCCAGAGTGGAACTAGCTCCAGTGGACATGAGGAGCAGGGGGTATGCATGAGCTCTGGGCCTGGCGGTATCACCGTCCAGTTATGGGTCTGTCCCCATATCCCAGCAGCGAGGCATATGGGGGACCTCGCTGGAAAGTGGCCAGGCTTCTGTACAAGTGCTGAAGAAGTCACGTTTACCAAGCAGCCACCTTATGCCATACACAGGGCCCTCCCCACCTGTTAAATCACATACATCCATGGTGAAAGGAAGGCAGTAGGAAGCTGGCAAGATCCTGGGCTGACTGCACCTCTGTCCCGTCTGGCACCTCAGAAAAAAACCACATTTTTTTTTTCTAACCATCTCCACAAGCACACAGAGAGTGTTAGGATTGGCTGCTCCCACTCCCACACAGCTGGGCACTTGCCCTGACTGGAAGAGAATAGCTTATGAGGTAGTGAGTTCACCATCCCTGAGGGAGTCCAAGAGAAGACTGGGTGACTACCAACCAGAGGCTGTCCATGGGATTCCTGTATCTGGACAACTTCTGTACTCCCCTCATCCCTGTGATTCTCACAGGGGGAGACATGCTCATCTGAGCCAGCTGGGCAGTGCAGCAGACGGGTGGCCTTGAGCTGTCGGGCCAAGCAGAGTGGGCAGACTTGTAGGGGAGTGGCCCTCTCATCTGCCCCTGAGCCCCCACTGCCCTTTCCCCTGCTGGCCCCTTGACACAGCCCTCCCCCTCTGCTCCAGCCGTGAGCGAGTTCTTCGGTGCCAGCTGCGTGCCCGTGAACAACCCCAAAAACTACCCATCCTCGCTATGTGTGCTCTGTGTGGGGGACGAGCAGGGCCGAAACAAGTGTGTGGGCAACAGCCAGGAGAGGTACTATGGCTACAGCGGCGCCTTCAGGTAAGCAGTGGCCTGGTGGGCGGGCCTGGGGCCAGCACAGATGCTGGGTCCCTCCTGCCAACACCTGCCTTGGCCTCTTGTGTGGCAGGTGCTTGGCTGAGAACGCGGGGGATGTCGCCTTCGTCAAGCACACAACTGTCTTTGACAACACAAATGGTACGTGAGGGGGGCTGGGGCCAGAGCGGGACCAGATTCTTGAGGGGTTGTTCCCCATCTCCAACATGATGCAGGCACTGGGTATTGCCAGGATTGGGGTAGAGCAGCAGCTGGGAAAGACTGAGTCTAGAAGGCTCTGCCCCTTGGGGATCCCAGGGGCTCCAAGGGCCTCTCAGAAAGAATAGACCTCAGGGCACATGTCCAGGTGGGCAGGACACATGACAGTTTTTACCGGTCTAGAATCCAAATGCTCCATTCCACCAAAATGGTAGAAACTCAACCTCAGTCCATTTGGAGAGACCCCTTCTTGGGCATTTATATTGTGTCTAGGTATGGTGGGGGGCGGGAGTGGGCAGGTGCAGGGGGACAGGGGCCTCTCTCCACAGGGTCATCAGTTCGCATCAGCATCTGGTCTTTGGTCCGGAGCAGGTCAGTGTCCCGTGCAGGGAAATCACCTCGCATCTCCTAAGCCATACAAGGCAATGCACAAACCCATTCACATCACATGGGTGGCTTTTTCTCTGGAGTCACCTTCCTGGGCTCTGACTGGGAAAAAGGGCCCAGAAACTCTATGCTCCAGTCCCCCCCAAACCCATTCCTGGGTCCTATTGAGGGGCAGGGGACTTTGGCGTGCCTCTCTTCCCTCCCTGCTCCTGTTCCATTTTGAAGACTGGAGGCTGTTTCCCCCCCAACACCTACTGTTTGTTCTTTCTCTATACCCTGCCTGCACCCAGGCTTTGAAACCCCAAGTGCTGGGGGCTCAGTCTTCTCTCAGCAACTCGTCCCCAAAACTCAGTGCAGAAAGGTGCAATGTGGCCCGAAGGGGAGGAGGAGATTGGTGAAGAAGAAGCGAGACCTGCAAGAGAAGAACATCAGTTAGGATTTCAAAACTCAGATGCCACCCTGCCTAAGAAGTGTTACCAAAGCTGGGAGGGCTCCAGGCCCCATTGCCACAACCCCTCGCCCCTGCAAAGCTCCTACCCTGAAGAACACTTGGGATCATCCCCCCAGGAGGAGGGAGCTTTGTGCTCCGGCAGGAGCCAGTGAGCCTGGCCTGGCCCCAGCCCCAGGCCCTCTGTGGTCTCCGGATAGAGGGAGGGGAGGGGCCGGTCCTGGGGGGACCCTTTCAAGAGTCACCTGCATCGAGGCACCCACCTCCCAGGGCCACTCATTCCCCTTTATTTTTATCTCTACTTGTGGGCCCACCTGGAGTTTCTTCTGGAAGAGGGTGGATACTAAGTGAATAATACATGAAGATACAAAAATAGTATGATTCCCGAGGGCAGTGTTTCTCAGGAAGCCCTTGGGCCAACAACCCCCTGCTTCAGAAACACTGGGTTGCTGGTTTAAAATACGGATCCCTGGGCCCCACCCTAGACCTAACTTTGAAACTGCCTCTTCCAGATCAACACATGATGTTATACCTTTTCTGGTTTGAGAACTTCAGCCATTAGGGTAAGAGGTCCACCACCACCTTCAGGAGCCCACCCCACCTCAGGCCCAAGACCTGTAACACACAGGTGGGGCTCTTGGCCTGGGAGTGATTAAGAGTCTCCATTTTGTCATTTCATATGCAATAGGAGTGGTCATACTCACTTTGTGTTACTGCCATGAGGAGAGAGCAGTGCTTGTGAAATACCTGTCACATTATAGGTTCTCCCTATTCTCTACCAGTGGTAGCTCCTACCAATGTTATTTTTTTTTAATGTTTTTATTTATTTGTGTGAGAGAGAGAGCACAAGTGGGGCAGAGGCAGAGAGAGGGGGACAGAGGATCTAAAGTGGGCTCTGTGCCGATAGCAGCAAGCCCGATACGGGGCTCAAACATGCAAACTGCGAGATCATGACCTGAGCCGAAGTTGGACGCTCAACCGACTGAGCCACCCAGGCACCCCAGCTCCTACCAATGGTATTAGCTCAACCAGGTTCTCCGGTCCTGATAGGAGAGCAGATAAGTTGGAGAATGGAGAGGGTTGAGAAGCTGGCTACATATGGCCACCTCTCCCCAGTCAAGGATTTGGGAATCCAGAAGGAAAGCAGCCTCTCTCTTCCTCTCTCCCAATGCTCCATCCTCTCAGGCCACAATTCTGAGCCCTGGGCTGCTGAGCTAAGGTCAGAGGACTATGAGCTGCTGTGTCCCAACGGGGCCCGGGCCGAAGTGTCCCAGTTCGCGGCCTGCAATCTGGCACAGATACCGTCCCATGCTGTCATGGTCCGGCGGGACACCAACATCTTCACCGTGTATGGACTGCTGGACAAGGCCCAGGTGAGCCAGGGCAGGGGCTACATCACTGGGGGGTGGGCAACCAAGTGAGCCAGGGCCCCGGGTGCCTCAGTCTACCTGGAGCAGACCTCAGGAGGAACTGAGGAAGCCTGGAGAAAGTTCTGACATGCTCACTTAGTCAAACCATTCCTCCAACTATCCTTTCTGTGTCTTGCATTATTAATGTTTCCTTCTCAGCCAGATCGTTCTCACCCACATATAAACCTGCTGCTGTTTCTACCATCTTGAAAAAAACAAATGAGCCCCCTCTTGGTTTCACAGCCATTGTAGCCATAATCCCACCCTCCTAGAGCAAAACTCCTTCAAAGAGTCATCTCTACTCAAGTCACCAGTTCCTCTCTGGTCTCTCTCTTTTTTTTTTTTTTTTTTCCCCCAGTGTTTATTTATTTTTGAGAGACAGAGAGACAGAGCATGAGTAGGGAAGGGGCAGAGAGAGAGGGGGACACAGAATCCGAAGCAGGCTCCAGGCTCTGAACTGTCAGCACAGAGCCTGACATGGGACTCAAACGCACGAACCGTGAGATCATGACCTGGGCTGAAGTTGGACACTCAACCGACTGAGCCACACAGGCGCCCCCTCTCTGGTCTCTCTTAAGGATGGAGACCACTCTAGACAGGCCCCCGCAGGGCCATGAACCTGCCCTGAGCTAGATCAAAGTGAGCCATGGTGCTGAGTCCAGTGGCTGTTTCTCAGCCCACATCTCCCTGACCCTTTAGCCGCATTGGCCACAGCTCCCACCTGCTGGAAGTGCTTTGCCCCTTGGCTTCCAGGTGCACACCTGCCTGGCTCTCCTCCCAGGCTCTATAGCAGTTCCTCCTCATTTCCCTGGCTTGTAACGACTGGACTGCCCCAGGGCTCTATCCTAAGCCCTCTTCTCCACCTGCACCCCTGTTGACATCACCTCATCCCACATCGTCAGCAGCCATCTGTGTACTGACAGCTCCCAAATTTATGTCTTCAGCCCTGCTTTCATCCCACCCTTCCATCTTTAACAGCTGCCTACCTGACGTTTCGACTAGCATTTCTAACAAGCTTCTCAGCCTGAACAAGCCCGCATCTGGACTGCCCTGCTTCCCTCAGGCTTCCCCCCTGCTGCGAATGGCCACTCCAGACCTCACATTTCCTCAGGAGTCTTCTTCAGCTCCTGTCTTTCTCTCATGGTCTACATCCAGTCCATCTGCAAATCCCATTGGCTCAACTTTCGATATACATCTGGAATGAACCCAGACTGACAACAGGGTCCTTGGTTCCCACCCACTCCACCCCCTCCCCCACTTCCCCATCTCCCCCCTTCTCTCCCCTGTGTCCCCTTCTTCCCGCGGAAGCGATGTGGGGAAGAACCCTGTGTCAGTGCACATTTTCTGGGGGAGAAGGCTGGCCTTTCATCAGATCCTCCATTATCCGTGAGTCCCCCGAAAGATTGATGGCCACTTTGATCCTGCTTACTGTGGAAGCTATCATCATATCTGTACTCCAGCTTGCTCGGTCGGCAGGCCTGTGATTTCACATCAGTCTTGGTGCCCTGAAATCCCTTGCTCTTTGGGTCACCATATGTAAAGCCTGAGTGACCACTGGGGAGGCCAGATGAAAAGCACATCTACCTGTGGTGCTTCCAGGACCTGTTTGGAGATGACCACAATAAGAATGGGTTCAAAATGTTCGACTCCTCCAACTACCATGGCCAAGACCTGCTTTTCAAGGATGCCACGATCCAGGCGGTGCCTGTGGGGGAGAAAACCACGTACCGAGACTGGCTGGGCCCTGACTACGTGGCAGCTCTAGAAGGGATGCTGTCTCAGCGGTGCTCGGGCGCAGGTAGGTTCACACCTCACGGGAAGAGCAGGTGTCCCGCCACATTCCCCGTCGTCCCTCCCAGCCTTTCACCCCATATCCTGAGTGAACTGAGGGCCTTTCCGGGTGGTTACAGACGATCAAGGTGGGGTGTGGGGGCAGCGGGGAGTGTGGTCTGAACAGGAAGGCTGCAGACAGAGCAGAGACACTGGCTGTGTAACCCAGACAGACCTAGATAAAGAATATAAATGCTGCCAGTAATGGTCCAGAGAGGATTGAAGCAACCACATAAATATACATGAAGTATAATTTTGGAAGGAATGAATATGTAAAGAAACCAGGGGAAAGAAGAACTGTACCAGGGCAGAAAGAGGGAGCCTGGCCGAGTCGAGTGCACACAAGTGCGCTCGGTCAAGTCCTGCGCTGGTGTGCCCACTGCCCGCAAATGCGGCTCTAGGTGCTCTGAGGCCTTAACTGCCTGTGTTCCATCCCTCAGCGGCCCTGGTCCCCAGCCTGTCCCAGTTGCTGCTGCTGCTCCTGCCACTCCTCACAGCTGGCCTTCTCCATACCGCCCTCTGAAGCAGCTCCAGGCAAGCCTAGCCCTCCCTCGGAATGGAAACCTACTCAGAAATCTCCATAAATAGGCTGTTCTCTATGGTGAAGTGGGTTAGCACTGCTCAGAGAGACAGGAAGTGTGAGAAACCACGGAGCTCCTCAGAGCTGCGATTCTGACACCAAAGAGGAGGTTCTGTGATTGCTGCAAACCGGAATAAAGATGAATGTTAAAGGAAAGCCCCCCCCCCCTCGAATTGAGTTGGATGCGAGCAGTGCTCCTGCGTGAACCCAGCCTCTGCCTCCCAGGCACCACCTGTCCCTCTGCCACCTGAGGCGGGCGAGCTGGCCGGCCTCCCAGTCACGCCCCACCCACGGCTGGCAGGCCGCCTCCCTGCAGATCCGTAGGCTCCCACCACCGGAGGAGCCTCACCAGGCTCAGGATTGGAAAAGGCCAGTTACCAAGGAAACAGGCTGAGCCCCCGGCTTCCCACACGGCCCTCTCCGGCCCTCTCCGCTGGAGCCTGCCCTGCTGAGCTGCCCAGGGGACCCGTCCTCTGCCGGTTCCCTCTTCTCCTCTGAGGAATGGATGCACACTTGGCACCTCCTGTTAGCCCCTCTCCATCTGGGCTCTAGACTCCCTCTTCCGGCCTCCCTCCTTAGGACACCGTGTCTGTCTAGGGAGGCATCCACCAGATGAGGCTACAGTCGGGCCTGCCAGGGAGGTGAAGCTGCTGGACACAGACAGCCCTTTGTCCTTGTCTTCTGTGGCTTGGCGTGGCCCAGACCACCCGACATACCTGATTGTGCTGGGCCAGAACAGACCACAGGGGTGAACCCTCAAGGGGGTCCTCAGACAAAGGAAATGCTCCTCAGTAAGCATCCCCCCTCCTGAGTTTCCATCTCAGATTATCCTCTTGTCCCACCCCCACACGACGCCCTCCCCTCCTCAGATGCCCCTGCACATCTAGCAGCGGCAGTTGCCTCCCGATGGAAGGACTCAGCCTCAAGGACCTGCCCAGAGAGCTCCAGGCCTGGAGCAGGAGGTAACCCGGGCCTCCGAGGCAGCACATGCCGTCTGAAGAGGCAGGAATGGGGAGATGCCCTTCTCTTTGTCACAGGAGCCATGGGCCGGGTTAGGCACCAGTGGGGAGCTCCAGCTCCTCTGTGTCAGCAGGAGGTCTCCTCACCCAGGCCTGTACCAGCTGGACGAGGCCACTCAATCCAGAGGAAGGGTCCCACCTTCCCCTCGCCTGTGAGTCAGAGGAAAGTGCCTGGAGAGGGTCTTCTCTACTCCATTTTTGCCACGGTTGTTTGAGGAGCCAGAAAAGTTTCCAGAACTGCCAGCTCTTCCTCTGAATTTTCTTCCCTGAGAAAAGGAAAAAAAAAAAAAAAAAAAAGAAGAAGAAGAAACAGGAGCAAGCCACCCTCTCAGCAGACTGGGAGCCGCGTGGGTCTTGAGCTATTTGCGTCTCGATCTGCGGGGGCCTCGGGGACGCCGATGACAGGCTGGTTCCTGGTGCTTCGCCCCCATCAGGGGGCGTTGGGATGGATACCTTCCATCTCTCAGCAGTGAAGGAGGCCCCTGGCAGCATCCTGGCCACAGTCGCGCCGTCCCGAGGAGTCCTAGTCACCATGCTGGGGAAACTCTACCCCACTGCCAAGGGCAGAAGGAGCAGCCTCCGCTACCAAGCTTTGTACCCTCTTCACCTCGGGGAGTGAATGATTCTCTGACCTGACGATTGTTTGATTTTTTTTTTTTTTTTTTTAAAGGGAGATTCGTCCAGTGAGAGAGTATTTGTGTTTGGCTACCCTGGGCTAGTGTGCTGCCCAGGGTGTGACACCAGTAACCATGAGCCACTGAGTATGACATGTGTGAATGCTGTGTGAGGTTGGATTTTCAGGTGACAGCAGGGGGCTACCACTGTGTTAGTGCTAATAAAAGATGTTGGTTTGGTTTTTTTAAATAAAGCCGAACAGCCCTGCACCTGCTGAGGCTTGGAATCTGATAGAAACTTTCTGCTGCTGATTGATTTGACTTCTTAGCTGGTCAGAGGCCTACCTGCCCCAGACCACTCCCCAGCCTGCCCAGAATGGCAGTTTCCACTCAGAGCCCTGTTCCCCGAGCCAGAGTTAGGGCCTCTTCAGCCGGTGAGGCACCCAGCTCCCTTCTCCACTCTGAAAGGGCCCCCAGCACATCTCAGCTGCCTCCACCCCCTCAGCCTCTTGGGTACCCACTCTTCTGGGGACCAGATAAAGAGGAGGATGCCAACTTCTACACCCACCCCTGCCCTGTGTCTGCAAAATAAGCTGCCCACGCCTTTGCTTTGGCAAGTTGGCCACTAATTCACTGGAGGAGGGAAAGGGAGGGAAGTCAGATCTCCCACAGTCCTCACCAGCAGCACTGGCCTGACGTGAAGTGAGCCAGCGGGGCTGGCCTTGGCCAGTGCCCTGCTGTGGCTGAGGATGTGGAGGTTCTCTGCCCTTCCCCCTTCCCACGGCTCCTCCGCTGCCCCAGGCCAACCCTCCCTCCGTCACTGCGGCCATCTCACAGAGCTGTGTCTCACTCCCACGGTCCTCGTGCTGTAACTGGGTGGTCTGCCTGACCTCAGAAGCTGGGCAGGGACCTGGGCCTCAGAAAGCATCCACACGGTTTCTGCACCATGTGAGTCTCCTGGTGCTGCCATTCACCCCTTGAAGCTTCGGGAGAGTTACTTAGCATCCGAGCCGCATCTCCACTTCTGAAACATGAGCTCGATAGTACGCACCTGGTGCAGTCCTTGTCAAGTCTGGATTATCCTACATGTAAAATACTCCACACCCTGCTTGGCACATCCCAGGTGCAGGACAGACACTGTTACCATTGCTATTACCATTACTCCCAGAGTTTGTTTTGTGGGCTTAAGTTTCAAATTCCCAGGAGAATCATCTGATTGGCCCAATGTGGGTCAGGTGTCTCCCACTGGGCCAATCAGCTCAGGCGAGCATTGGGCATATAGCGAAAACCTGGCCACTGAGACCCCCCAGAGAGGAAGTGAAATCTTTGCGAGCAAGGCAACATCCCCAAGTGTTGGCTACCGGGTCTGCTTTAGGTAGTATTTGGCATTTGTCAAGCACCTGTTAATATCTACCGGGGCAACAGGGACCTCGGCCATGGGTTTTGTGCTTTAGAACAGTGCTTTTTAAACCTGGATGTGCACGCGAATCTCCTAGGGATCTTAGAGTCAGAATGTGATTCGGCAGGTCTGGAGTGAGGCTGCAGTTCTAACCAGCCCTCAGGTGGTGCCCACACTGCTGGTCTGGGGATCACATTTGGAGAAGCAAGACTTCAGAGACCTCTACTGAACCCCCTCTGACCACACCCACCCACAGTGGGAAGAGTCACAGGGAAAGTGCTGTTTGCCCAGGGTGCATAAACCATCTTTTAGACCATGCTTTTGGAATTCTTATCCCGAAGAGTTCTGAGCCAGTTACCAGGGTTTGCACAGGACTCTTCTTTAGGTCCTGCCTCCAAAGGGTGGTCAGAAGGCTGCTGTCTGCAGGAGGTGTAGAATGAGTTTGATGAACAGGCTGCAATGTCCACTTACATGTGCACAAGGCCCTGAAAACATGGGATGGAGCCCGGATGGAAAGAAAATCAGGTAAGCTGGGGGATGGGAGCTCCTTCGCTCTGCACCTCATGTTCCAGTCTGCCAACTCTTTATAAAGGGTTCTTTGTCAAAGTAGGACAGGACACATTTTATTTAAGTTTGTTAGCTTGAGTTGTAACTTTGTAGCCACATGGGAGGTGAGCCTCCATTGGTACTCTTGTCCTGGGCCCAGCAAGTGTTTGGGGTGGGCAGGCCTGCTGTGCACACAGCTGTCCAGCTGACAGCTGTACTCTCGGGGCTCTGGAAGACACAAAGAAGTCAGGCTAAGAGCCATTGCCCCTGCCTTTGGTCTCATTTGAAGAGACCACTGGGTGGGTGTGGTAGAAACAGGGACGGTGAGAAGGTGACTAATTAACCCCCCCCCCCAAGGACAGGCAGGTCCTCCTGGACCACACAGCACATTGCAGATGAGATATCACCCCCACTTTCAGACTCCTCCCTGGGGCTTTCTTTACATGTTTATAATGAGGATGGACTCCTTAGGGTGACGTTCTTGTGAAAGGTGCACACATTAAGTATAAATGCTACAACTTTTTAAAAAGATACTTCAGTTTGGAAAAAAAGAATAGATCACTTAACCTTGCATTCTAGTTCTTTTAATACTTTTGCTATTCATGTTGGGAAAATACTTTCTCCTGTCTCAATCTCTGTTCCCAAATCTATATATAACCTGGGAAGTTTGGAATGGTCCTTCAGTGACTTCCGGGTCTCTCAGTTCTCACAGTCTTCACAGGGTTATTGCCTATTCTGTGCCAAAGTGCAGAGGGGCCAGGTGGCCCAGGTGGTTTTGCTTCTGCCTTTCCCAGGTGTCTTTGGGTTGGCACTGACAGCCCAGAAGCGGTTTCACAGCTTGAGAGTCAGTATGTGTCTTTGGTTCTCAAACTTGCGCGCGCATCAGAATCACCTGGAGGGCTTGTTAAAACACAGAGTGCTGCAGGGCACCTGGGTGGCTCAGTTGGTTGGGTGTCCGACTTCAGCTCAGGCCATGATCTCGAGGTTTGTGGGTTCAACCCCTGCGTTGGGCTCTGTGCTGACAGCTCAGAGCCTGGAGTCCTCTTTGGATTCTGTGTCTCCCTCTCTCTCAGACCTTCCCCTGCTTGCACTCTCTCTCTCTTTTAAAAATGAACAGGGGTGCCTGGGTGGCTCAGTCAGTTAAGCAGCCGACTTTGGCTCAGGTCATGATCTCGCGGTCCGTGAGTTCGAGCCCCGCATCGGGCTCTGTGCTGACAGCTCAGAGCCTGGAGCCTGTTTCAGATTCTGTGTCTCCCTCTCTCTGACCCTCCCCCGTTCATGCTCTGTCTCTGTCTCAAAAATAAATAAACGTTAAAAAAATTAAAAAATAAAAATAAACATTAAAAAAAAATTTTTTTTTAAAACACAGAGTGCTGCAAACCCTATCAAAATGACACCAGCATTCTTCACAGAACTAGAACAAACAATTCTAAAATTTGTTTGGATCTAGAAAAGACCCCAAATAGCCAAAGTAATGTTGAAAAATAAAACTAAAGTTGGAAGCATCACAAGTCCATACTTCAAGCTGTATTACAAAGCTGTAATCATCAAGACAGTATGGTATTGGCACAAGAACAGACATAGCGTACCCAGAAATGGACCCACAAACATATGGCCAACTAATCTTTGGCAAAGCAGGAAAGAATATCCAATGGAAAAAGTCTCTTCAGCAAATGGGGCTGGGAAAACTGGAGAGCGACATGCAGAAGAATGAACCTGGACCACTTTCTTATACCATACACAAAAATAAACTCAAAATGGATGAAACACCTAAAGGTGAGACAGGAAACCATCAAATCCTAGAAGAAAAAATAAGCAGCAACCTCTTTGACCTTGGCCACAGCGACTTCTTACTAGGTATGTCTCCAGAAGCAAGGGAAACAAAGGCAAAAATGAACTATTTATTGGGACCTCATCAAGAGAAAAGGCTTCTGCACAGCGAAGGAAACAAAACTAAAAGGCAACCGACGGAATGGGAGGAGATATTTGCAAATGACATATCAGATAAAGGGTTTGTATCCAAAATTTATAAAGAACTTACCAAATACAACACCCAGGAAAACAAATAATACATGAAGAAGACACTTCTAATACATGAACAGTATTTTACTAATACGTGAACACTTTTCTAAAGAAGACATCTATTATAAATGTCTGCATAGACGAGTGTATTATGCTAAATAAAATAAGAAAGAAATTTCATATGATTTCACTCATATGTGGAATTTAAGAAACAAAACAGAAGAACATAGGAGAAGGGAAGGAAAAATAAGATAAAAACAGAGCGGGAGGCAAACCATAAGAGACTCTTAAACTAAGGGTTGCTGGAGGGGAGCTGGGTGGGAGCATGAGCTAAATAGACATTAAGGAGGGCACTTGTGATGAGCACTGGGTGTTGTATGTAAGTGATGAATCACTAAATTCCACTCCTGAAACCAATACTACACTCTATGTTAACTAACTTGAATTTAAAACAAACAAACAAACAAAAAAGCACAGAGTGCTATCTCCCACCCTGAGTCTCTGATTCCAAGGGCTGGGAATGTGCATTTCTGGCAAATTCCCAGGTGATGTTGATGCGGCTGATCCGGCCACCTCACTTTGAAGACCACTGTTAAGGACAGCGTGAGCTCACACCCATGAGAACATTAAGTGCCTGCCCAGTGGAGTTGAGGATCTGGGTAGGAAGGGTGAGTGGTGAGGAGGCCCTGATGGAGGAAGCAGGGCCCAGCCCGGAAGAAAGGGCAGGCCTGTCTGACCACGGCCTCCGTGCTGTCCCTGGGGAGAGGTGGGATGTGCAGGATGATGCCGAAACACTTAGCCCGGGTGTCCCTGCTCGGTAGCCAAGGGTCTGGGGCAGCATTCTGACTTCACCCTCCTGCCCAGCACGTGGCTCCCTCCTCCCACTGGCCCTGCACCCCACACCAGGCATCTCTGAAAAGGGCTCTCAGGAAGAGAAGACAGCAAGATTGGCATTAGGAGGCCGTGTGGTCAGAATACCCTTCTTGCTTCTTCCCAGCCTCTCATCTCCCCACAAACGTCCAACTCAGGGGAAAACCTACTTTATGTTCTCTACTGTAGCCGACCTTTGGGACACTAGGGGGACAAAGAAAAGGGCCTGGTGACTTACTGAGCAAGGCATTCTTAGTCAAAATCCCAATCCAGCCAGCTTCATGGGAGACTCTGCCTGTGGTCACCAACATCCTCCCCGCTTCCTGCCTGATGGTCTGGTTCGGGATGGCAACGTGCCAGCTACAAAGATTCACTGTCCCAGTTCTGGCTGATGAAACCTAAGTGAAAGTTACAGGGTGTGGATTTCTGAAGGTGTTTTTTTTTTGTTTTTTTTT